GAAGACAAAGTAACGCAGGGAAGTAGCGACAGGACATGAGCGGGACTGCACTACACACGACGGATCGGTACTCATTACATGTGGTAGGGAGACTGAACGGACCATTAGTATTAGTGATCATAGAACTCCTGCTCCATACCAGACTGTGCATAGTTGAGGAGGCAAAGTGTGTCCGCCGCGCGCTGCGTGAGGCTTGGGAAACAGGACTTTGGATTGGAATAGAAGGAGGACGGAGGATAAAATACGCACTCCAAGTGACACCTTTCGAAGGGCGGTTTCGGATAAGGGCATGATACGAGACGACTAAAGAGAGAGGTTGAAGATAAGCGAAGCCAGGAAAGCTGGAGAGTTAGGGAGAGTTGTAACAGATGGTGCAATACTCAGGGTGTTAGCCGCTCACGACCGGTACAGGAAGGAATCGATAAAGACTTTAGAGGCGATAGAGGATGGTGGAGATAAGGAGGAATTTGAGACATTTTATGACATATTGGAGCGGTCGGCGATGAGGTTACAAGTGGTTATAGCACTAACTTACCTCAGCTGCTAGACAAATGACCTCGTAGCCGTCTGGGAGATAAGGGAGTGGAAATAGAAATTGGAAGCTCTTGGAAGGATAGTGGAAGCTAGAAAGGTCAATGGGCGACTTTGGATGGCAGTAGGAGGGCCTTTAGCGGGCTAACCGATTCACGACAAGGCTAGGAGAACTAGCAAGGAGGACGGAGATAGACACTCGGAGACTCTTGAGGGGTGTTGATCAAGAGACATTGGCTAGGTTTGGGACTGCGATCTGTCTCAAGGATAGAGGTCCTGTCACGGGTGTACTGCAGATCCGAAGAGGCACGACTTTGTTGGCCGATCCCGAAGGAGAGGTTTACTTAGACACAGGGATTCTTGGGATAGAGGGAGAGCACGAGATCCGCGACCGGTACGGATTACTGGAAGTGGTAATCAGAAAATGTCGAGAGCTAAGATTGGAGGCGGACGCGAGCCGTTACAAGGAAACAGGTCCGGGGTGCCACAACTGTCACAGGTCCGGGCTGCAGCGACTGTCATAGGGTCGGGCTGTAACTGTTGGCTAGAATACCTAACTGCGTCTTCTGGCGGTCCAATGGAACCCGACACGATGGGGCCACAACCGACCACGGGCGAAGCGGGAGAGGAGTACAGGACATCGCCCGATCGAGCTCTGAGGGATCTGAAGGAACGAATTAGGCGAGAAGCACCGCTGAGATGGGCTGACCAAACCACTGACGGAGGGCCTGACGTAATGGGCGAACCAGTTGCGACAGAGCCGCAAGAGGCTCTTAACACGGGTACCTCGAGCGGAAGACGAGAAGCGACGAGGCGACGCTCCCCCGAGTACGAGCGGAGGGACACCATAGCCGACAGGCACAGAGACGACTGAAGAGAGAGTTCCAGGGATTCCTATTGGAAAGACAGAGATAGAGACAGGGCGCCGCCTAGGCGAGTCTTCGACCCCCAGACAGGGGAGTCACATCCGCCTTACGAGAGCAAGGATCGCTATATTATTACGCACAAGGCCTCAGAGCCTCCTACCTTCAGGGGCTATGGTATCACAGAATATCTGGAGAAGTAGGAGCTTCACGCCAGCCGGAGTCAGTGGTCGGAGGAAGAGATTATAGAGAACTTCCTATTTAATGTGGACCCAAGTCTCGGTAGGAAAGTTAAGGAAGCTCGACCGAAGGATGGGAAATGGACTATGTACAAGAAGAACCTCGTTGAGCTTTACAAATTGGACGATAAGAAGTATTCCATCAAGGACCTTGAAACAATGACTCAAGATGAAGATGAGAGCGTACGGGCATTTGGGATGCATTTCCAGAAGATCTCCAACGTGCTGATGAAGAAGGGGAAGATCTCAGAGGTCGAGCGTTGTACCATCTTCGTCGGACACTTGTCCAAAGGTAGGCAAAAGAGTATACTTAGAGATCTTCTGCGCGACAGGCTTGATTTCCCAGAAGTCCTAAAGCTCGCGATAAAGGCAGAGGCAGACGATTACAAGGACTTGGTGTGGAGAGGGATGAGGAGCCGTGACTTCTCTCTCTACAAGGAGTATGCCACTGATAGATGTCCTGATTTCAAGGACTATCCCTGGTCGGAGAAGAATGAGGGTGTGGCTGAGGAAGTGAAGGAGACACGAGACATGGTGAAGGGATTGACGAAACAGGTTACAGAGGTTGTGACCACTACAGGGGCCACGGCCTACCGGGACAAACCTGGAGGGCCCTATTCACTTCGCTGGGACCATAGGAACAACGATTCCTGGAGGAGTGTAGAGGATAGAAATCCTCGGACGCTGACTGATTATCGTACGAGGGGAAGAGAGAGAGACGATGAACCATGGCGACGTAGGGATGATGAGATAGACCGAGATCGCAGAGATCGCAAGCCGTTTGCGCGAGCAAGGAGTCTGGATGATTACTCGCGAAGCCCTCGCTATAAGGCCGATCGGGGTAGAGGCGACTCCCGCGGCCAATGAGAGACAGATCAGGGCCGACGAGATGGATATAGGGACGACAGATACGAGAGATCGGACGGAGATGGATATAGGGACGACAGATACGAGAGATCGGACCGAGACGGATATAGGGACGACAGATACGAGAGATCGAACCGAGACGGATATAGGGAC